ACGAGAGAGAGAGAGAGAGAGAGAGAGAGAGAGAGAGAGAGAGAGAGAGGGAGAGAGAGAGAGAGAGAGAGAGAGAGAGAGAGAGAGAGAGAGAGAGAGAGAGAGAGAGAGAGAGAGAAAGGGAGAGAGAGAGAGAGAGAGAGAAAGGGAGAGAGAGAAAGAGAGAGAGAGAGAGAGAGAGAGAGAGAAGTAATCCCTCATTTACAAGCAAGTGTTTGCTTCCTGAGAAAAAGACAGCAGCCTCATTTCTAAGCCAGTCTGAGGAAACCTCTGGATAAGAGACCTAAGGGTCGGCCGCCTCGCCCTGGCGTGGACAATGTCAGGGAGGACCACAGTTGCTTCCCGAAGAGCCACCAAGTGCTGGACCTCAGGGAACTGTCCTGGCCCAGCGCACTCTCCCTGGGATCCCACAGACCACGCTCCAGGGCTGTCCGTTGTCCTGAAGCCCTGGGCTGGGAGCTGGTCACCCAGCGGTGCCTCTGCGTGGGGAGAGAGTCACCAAACCTGAGTGCTGTCACCCTCGAGCTGAGGAGACGGCCCAGCGACTGCCTCAGGTTTTTAGTGGCAGTGCTGGAGGTTCTGGGGCCAAGTTCCCTTTTTTCCCAAAAGGTGGGGGAGGTGGCGGGAACTGACCCAAGGCCACACAGCTTTTTCATAGCAGAGCCCCAACTCGACTCTGCCTGGCACTGGGCAGGGTCCCCCTAGGGGCAGAGGTCACCTCCACCTCCAGGACTAACTCCCTGAGCTCCTGGGGTAGCAGAAGCTGCTGGGTCTCTGTGCTCCACCCTGTCAAATGGGCACAGGGTTGTAACAGTCCATAAGGATCTCCCCTCTGACAGAACGAGGAACCCCAGGATGTTCTTCAACTGAGAATTTAGTGTTATCCACTGACCTTTGCCCAGAGGCAGCAAGACACCCTCACGCCATCCCTGGATTTCCCAGGCTCCTCCGCAGCTCCTCCAGCTGCTGCCAGGGAGGACTGGCCACCTCCAGGACGGCGTCAGGGGCAGCGGCCGGGGCCTGGTCTAGACAGACCCTGTCCTGGGTCTGTGAGATCCTTGAGGACAGGCCTAGACTTGGCTCATCCCGACTCTTCCCACTCAAAGCCTGGCACAGAGACAGATGCACATGGATGCCTGTCGCGTTGGGTAAGAATGAGGAGGCACAGAGACTTCTGCCCACCACAGCGGGGAGAGCCACAGACACAGGCGAGCGCAAAACTGGCCAGCGGAATGTGAGCCAGCAGGTGTCTGCTTCTTTCTCTGAAGCCTCAGGTGGAGGGCTCCCAGCTCTCCCTGCCCAGTGCCCCGACTCTGACCCCCACCTTGTCCTCCCCGCTTCTCTCCCCTCTGTCTGGGGGTCCTGCATGAGGCCTTGCTCCCCTCCCGCCATCTCTAGCAGGCTTCCCTACACTCAAGCACTGTGTATTCTTCCAGAAAGAACGTGGCACTGGGGAGACCAACACGGGGTGGGACACTTTCTACACACTGTCCACTCTGGACTCAGAAGACAGAAGATAAACCACAAAATAAGACACAGCGACCTCCGCTCATCCCTCGTCTCCTAAAGGCCACCAAACATGACCTGCTGTAGGCAGGACACAATCTCAGGATGGAGGAGTGTCTCTGAGATGAAATCAAATCCTATGTAAAAAAAATTCAAGGCATCTGTCCTTGATTTTTTCATTTTGCTTTTGGTTAGTGAAACCTTTGCCACTGGTCCTTGTCCTTGGGTGAAAACTGGGAACTAGGAAGGTACAGTCTGACATTTTCTCTACTTTCCTTTTCTCCTCCTCTTCTTCCCCCTCCTCCTCCTCCTCCTCCTCCTCCTCCTCCTCCTCCTCCTCCTCCTCCTCCTCTTCTTCTTCTTCTTCTTCTTCTTCTTCTTCTTCTTCTTCTTCCTTCTCTCTCTCTCTCTCTCTCTCTCTCTCTCTCTCTCTCTCTCTCTCTCTCTCCTCAGCATCTTCACCACTTTGGGGCACAGTCAGCAGCACCAAACCCAACATCATTCCACGGCTGACTCCCTCTCTCCTACTTCTCGGTCGGTCTTCTCCAGCCAGACCAGCCAACTGCAGCCCCCCGAAGCCTCTGCCAAGCTTCTCGGCCTCCCCATCAGGCCCCAGCTCCAATCAAATGAGCAGAGGACCATCTGTGCCACCTCTCAGCAGGCAAGGGCTGCGATGCCCTCAGCACCTTCTGCTAGTGGCCCTACATCAGGGCCCTGTCATCGGCTCCCAGCTGCAGAGGACCCCAGCTTCCTTCTCCTGGAGCTGTCCAGGGACAACTGTCTCCTAACACCCCCCCCCGGCCCTCCTGGGGAGTCTGAGGCAAATAGGGGCTGAGAGAGAGAGCTGGGTCACTTCATCCAGCACCCACTTCCTCTGCACCCAGGAGACACACCGGCCTCTGGATTTTAATGTAGCTCATCAAACACGAGCTCTAGTTTCTTCCCCTGTCACTGGGGCTGCAGGGTTGGGTCACTCAGGACTGGGCCTCCTGGTAGGCTGAAGAGGGGCTCCCTGACCAGCTGGGTGGAAAGTCCCACCTCTCAAAGGGATGTGAAGATGATCACAGGTGACCTGTGGGAGCAAAGGGCCAGTCTTCAGAAAACTGGCACAGAGGCCCGCTCTGGCCCATCCCAGCTGAGCTGGTAACAGAGGGCCACTCCCCGAGGCTGCAGCGCTGCACCTGGCAGGACCCGCCAGGGGCCCTCTCCCCCCAGCACGGGCTTCAGGATCAGACAGCCTGGTTCAAATCCCACTGCGGCGTACGCAAAAGTTTATCTTCACACTCTGCTTTCTCATCTCAAACCTAGAGGTAGAGTACTGTGGAACCTCTGGAGGGTGACAGAGCACAGTTGACAAGTGCCTACCAAGGGGCCAGGTGCCAAACCAAAGGTCACCTCCAGGTTACCTCTGGCCTCCCTGGCTGTCCTTGCCTGCCTGCCCACCCACTCACAGCCTTGCTTTAGAAACATCTGGATCCTGAACTTGCTGGATGAAGAAAAGAGCAGGGTTGGGGACAGATGAGGGGAGGAGCTAAGGGCATCGGCCTTGCCCACTTGTTACACACACACACACACACACACACACACACACACTCGCCTCCGGGCTGGGCCGTGATAGTCACATGTTACCATCCACTCTAGGAGCTCTCTCTTTGGGACAGAGGGACAAGACGCACACAGGTTCCATGCAACACTCTTCTCAAATGGCACCTGAGACTCCTGGTAGCTGTTGTTAAAGAGGCTAGAAAGTAACAGGAACATAACCACTGTCCACACCCCCTCCAAGCATAAGAGACGACATGTTAAAGCACCTGTATACATGGGCCGTTATATCATGCCTGTGTTTATATGAAAGTAAGGAAAATATCAATTCTCTCTTTAAAAATAAAAGTTATGCAAACAAGTAAATTTTTATGGCATCGTTATCAAAGTTTAAAAATATTGGGAGACATTCCCGCCAGCCAGGCCTCATATTGCACTCCCTGTCCCCACCCCCAACATGGGGCACCTGAGACAAAATTATATTCACGATAAACATTTTTTTCTTTCCGGTAGTGCTGGGAATTGAAACAGGGCTCACATGTGCCAGGCAAATGCTCTACCCCTGAGCTGCAACCCAGCCTGGCTCTTTCTTTTTGAAGGTACCAATGTGGGGGGATTGTGTTATACTGAGCAGGGCACTGCCTGAGGACCATGGTGACTGGTTCAGCTTTGGCCCAGCCTCTTGCTGTGTGGCCATGGGTGAGTTACTTTCCCTCTGCAGGCCTCAGATTTCTTGCCTGTGAAGTGGGAGAGTTCAGATGGGAGCACTCAGGTCTTCTGCCACAGCTGTGGCCTAGGGCTGGACCAATTAACTGGTGAGCATCTGGGGCTGGAGCAGATGACTAGGGAGCATGTGTGCTTGGCTGCCTGGCCTGAGCCCTGAGTTCACCCAGCCCCTGACTTTCCAGAAAAGTGGCCGCCTACTGAGAGCAGCCTTTGTGACTGGTTCCCAAACATCTGGAGGGGAGTCAGTGCCTGGAGTGTCCCCAGCACAGTTTGCCTGCCCTGCAGATGCTCAGCTCCTCCTAGCCAGGGTCCCATGAGGACTGCTGCACCACGGCCAGGCCAATGCTGGGGGGAGGGGGCCAGCCTGTGTGCGACAGCAGTGGTCTGGGGCTCAGGTCTCTCTTGGGCCTCGGTTTCCCCTCTGCTTAAAGTTCCCCCGTGTCTACAATACTTCATGATTCCAAGTCTGATACCACTCCTGAAGAACCCCCGCTGGCCTCCTGCTAGCAGTTGAGCAAATAGATAAAAATATTTATAAATAGATAAAATCTGTTTGTAAAGAGTGAACACTAAATATGTCCTTTAAAAAAGAAAATTTAGTGTCCATTTATGGAAATGTGATCTACTTTGAAGGCACTTAGGAACCATCCCAGAATCCCCCTGGGAGGAAGAGATATTTCTGACTCTGGGACCCAACATGGAGTCACCTTGGCCACATCCCAGGTAGTGCATGGAGCCCACGTGCCTAGACCTGATCTAAAGGCCAGGCTGGTGGCCTGGGCCCTGGGACCCCAGGGGGTGCAGGTGAGACATTCATGGTCCAGTGACCTGGCTGCCTCCAGTGCCCCTGTGGGAAGGGGAAGGAGCACCCTTCGGACAGGCTGCGCTCCGAGGCTGAGTCTTGTCTGTGTTGGACCCTCCGTCCCTACCTCAGTGTGGCCAGAGCTCCCCTTCAGCTCAGCTTCTAGGTGACAACACTCAGTCCCACGGCTGCAGACGTCACACAACTCTCCTTGCAGCTGCCGGGGCTGCTACCTGGGAGCATTTCACCCTCATGTCGAAATAAAAAGTAAAGCCTATCTCCTTCCCTTCTTCCTGAACAAGACACAGACAAAATCTAAGCCCATCCGGAACACGCCAGGGACACCCGCTGTGGGTCTGTGCTCTCAGAACGCCGGCACTTGGTGCCACCCTTGCTCAGTGCCCCCTTACGCTGTGCTCTCCTAGTTCTGTGTCTGCTCTTCAGGGTTCGTCCCCGCCTCCCTGAATGTCACTGCCTCTTCCACCTCCCACTGCCCCCACGGTGCCCTCTCCCACCCTCACTCTCTCTACCTCTCTTCCAGGCTTTAAGATGAAGTCAGCGTGTTTGTTCTCATCCTGCGTAAAGCAAGAGCCCCTGAGCTCCCAGTGAGCGAGGGTCTGTTCTGCTCTCCTGTGCTCACAGCTCTGACACCTGGGTTGGGGACTGGCTTCTGGGTGAGAGTTTGTCATAACGTTGTGTGTAGCTATTCCTGCTTGTCAGGGCCGATGGCAGGCCAAGGCACAAATGCCACAAAGTCCCCCTGGAGAAGGACACTGATAGGAACCTTGCTAACTAGAGAGACATCACATAGGAAGTTGGACATACTGAGCGTTTACATAGGTGTATATAAAAGTCCTAGACGTTGTCCCGAGTCATACACATACACATTTAGGTATAAACGGACGATGACCACTGTATAAAAAGCGAGTTTGTTCTGGAAACCCTGGCGCGGGATTTATGCCCAGGCAGCTCTGTGGTCTCTGGCCTGCCCGGTTCCAGTTTCCCCAGCAGGCAACCTCAGGAGGGGCCCTGGGACTGCTGGCGGTTGGGAAAGGACGTCACCTGCGTGCCCCAGTGGGCTAGGTGGGCGGAGGGCCACTATAGCGCAGCATGAGCGCGAAAGAGCGGGCGAAGTTGTTGGCCTGGGTGCAGCTGCGGTCCTCTTCCCCCACCGGGAGCAGGAGGAGGAAGAGCAGGAAGAGCAGGAAGAGCATCTGCAGCGGGAGCGCCACGCAGCACGCCTTCCAGAGGAGCCCGCACCGCCGCCGCCGCCACCACCGCCGCTGCGTCTGCAGATACCAGACAGAAGCACAAGGGACGTGAGCATCTGGGGACAGGGGGCGGGGTCGGGGGACGCCCAGGGTGGGGAGGACGCACTGGCTGACCTGTGACCCCTGGCATCTCAGTTGCTCACCTGTGATAAGGGACTGATACGGTGTGGACGTGAGGTGTCCCCCAAAAGCTCACACGTGAGACAACGCAAGGTTCAGAGGGGAAACGACTGGACTGTGAGAGTCAGTGAATGAATCCCTGGTGGGACTGACTGAGTGGTATCTAGAGGCGGTGGGGCGTGGCTGGAGGATGTGGTCATTTGGGGCCGTGGCTATGGGTTCCTATTTTGTATCTGGAGCTGGAGACTCTCTGCTTCCTGATCAGGGTGATGTCGCTGCCTCCCTCCACTACCCTCTCCCACCATGATGTCCAGCCTCACCTCAGCCCCGAGGAAGGGAGTTGCCCTTCTATGGACTAAGACCTCTGAAACTGTCAGCCCTTGAACAAACCTTTCCTCCTCTACAACTGGTGCATTTCACCAGGGACAAAGATCTCAAACCATTCGCGGAGGGAAAGAAAGAAATCCAGTGTAACTGCAGGCTTCACCGTGGTGGCATAAGCCCTGGCTTGGTGCACAGGTCCCCACCAGACAACAGTTTGACTTTTCAACGATTTTTCAACTTTGCAATGGTATGAAAGCAATGTCTGTTCAGTAGGAGCCACAGCTCGGTTTCTGAATTCGGCTGTGTTCCCAGGCTGGAGCACACAGCTCCACACTCCTGGGCAGCACAGCCGGTTAGCTGCAGCTCAGATGGCTGACACTCCTCAGTGTCAATACAGTTGCTTCAATGATTGAATGAGGCAGAGCCTGGCGTGTGGAGGTCCTCCAAAGCCATAGCTGTCATTGTATACGTGGCTCCTACTGTTGGCATCTAAATACCGCCATCACCACCATCACCACCGTGACCACCATGGGCAGCCTCTCCCTCAGCCACAGGCTCCCCTTCCCCTTTCTTCTCCTTCTCTCTTTCTTCCTCTTCACCATCATTTCACCGTCAGTGTCACCTGAAGGTCAGTCTCACAAGTTCCAGTGCCTGAGGGATTTCTGTTAGATGTCCATGAAAGGACCCACAGGACATTTCCTAAATCTACAGGGCCTGGCTGGGTTGTAGATTTGTGGATGTTTTCACGGCCTAGGAGTGTGGGGACGAGAGTTGGTCACTCAAGACCATGAAGGCCCTCATGGTCAAGGTGTAGTAGGGCGCAGGGTCCAGCTCTGAGGGGCCTGGCAGAGTGGGTCCCAGTGTAGGCTCCACCACACCCTAGATATGTGATGTGGGTGGGTCAGTAACCTCTCTGGGTCTCTGTGTCCTTCTCTGCAAATCAGGGATAAAATGCCTCCCCCATCTGCTGGGTTGTGGTGCAGACTCAAAGCCAAGCACACGGCTACCACTATTAAGAACTGAGCCAACTCACAAGAGCCGACTATAGAACCAACCCAGGTGCCCATCAACAGGACAAAGAAAATGTGGTATATGTGCACAATGAGGATTGCTCAGTCACGAAGAATGAAAGTGTGGAATTTGCTGGTAAATGGATAGAACTGGAGAATATCACGCTAAGTGAAATTAGCCAAACTCAGAGTCAAAGGTCGTATGTGTTCTCTGATAGGTGGAAGCTATTGTGAAATATGGGGTAGAATGGAGGGGGGAGGAGGGACGGGATAAGGGAAGAACAGTGGGATGGATCTGACCCAACTTCCCTGTGCACCAGGGAATATATGAATGCACCACAGTGAATCTCAGCCTCATGCACATCCCAAGACACTAACAAAAAACACAAACCTATTAACTAAATAGCAGAAAGACCAGAGGAGCAGAAGGAAGGGAACAGGGAAGGGAGGAGGGGAGGGGAAGGGGAAGTAGTGGGGATTGGATTAGAGCAAATTATATCCCATGCTTTAATAATTATGTCAAATGAATCCTAATGTTATATATAACTAAAAAGAAAAAAACAGTACCAGCTATTATTACTAGCACTGTTAGTACTGAGTTCTAGTACTATTAGTACTAGGACTTGTGCCTCTAGTTACTATTAATATTATTAGTAATAGCAGCCCTAGTCCTATTTTGTAGAATGTATCTGCTGGCTTCCTGAAGAATCAAGGGCCTGTCCTGTAGAGCACCAAGTCACTGCTGCTCCCAGCAACCAGGGCGTGGTGGTGCTGGGGATAATGCTTACTGGTGATGATGATGATGATGGTAGTGATGGAGCCAGTGTTGGTGGGGTTGATGGTTGTGAGAGTAAGAGTGATGGAGGTGAGGATGGTAGTGGTAGTGATAATGACGATGATGGTGGTGGTGGTGGTGATGGTAATGGTGATGATGGTGGTGGTGGAGGTGATGATGATAATGATGATGATGGTGATGGTGGTGGTGGTGGTGATAAAGATTATGATTGTGATGATGACAACAATGTTAGTAGTGATGGTGATGATTGTGATGTTGTTGGCAATGGTGGTGATGGTGATAGTAATGGTAGTGGTGGTGGTGGTGGTGATGGTGATCGTGATGATGATAACAGTGATGTTATGATGGTAATGGTGATGGTGGTGGTGATAAAGATGGTAATGGTAATGATGATAGTAATATCAGTAGTGATGGTGATGGTAGTGATGGTGATGGTGGCAATGGTGGTGATGGTGATGATTGATGGTGATGATGGTGATGGTGATGGTGATGGTGATGATGATAGCAATGTCAGTGGTGATGGTGATGGTGATGATGATGATGGTGGTGATGATGGTGATGGTGATGGTGATGATGATAGCAATGTTAGTGGTGATGGTGATGGTGGTGATGGTGATGATGATAGCAATGTCAGTGGTGATGGTGATGGTGGTGGTAATGATGGTGATGGTGATGATGATGATGGTGGTGATGATGGTGATGGTGATGGTGATGGTGATGATGATAGCAATGTTAGTGGTGATGGTGATGGTGGTGATGGTGATGGTGGTGATGGTGGTGATGGTGATGACAGTGATGAAGACACATTGCTAAATGCAGATATTTCTGGCAGCTTCTGACCTGGACTCTTCTGTCTCTTTATTGCTCACATCTGAGCCATCTCTCCCACTGTCCTGCTCCAGCTGTCTCTTCCAAATGATAGCACCCCACCCTTTTCCTCCAGCCTCAAATGTTTTCACTCACCAAAGCCCACAGACACTGATTCTGTGCAAACAGACTGCTTGTAGCCCACATGATGAGTAAGCCCTTGTGGCTGTGTTGATTCAGCAGTGACTTCGGGGGTGGCAGTGGGGGAGGCGTCACGCTGTGTAGCAGCTGAGCAAGCAGGAGTTCACAGAGGAGGCCTCCCCTCCAGCAGCGGGGCTGGGTGGGACCCGCAGGCACACGCCCTGCTTCCTCCTGGGGTCCGGCTGGGCGGCCTCAGCCTGGGGAGGCCCTGACTGGACTCCTGCACATTTCATGACGACTTCGCCTGATTCAAAACTCTGACCCATCTTGGGGGGAGACCACAGTCTGGAGGCTGCCCGCCTGGTGGACGCCACCCCCTGAAACCTGCCATCAGTGGTTCCCAAAGGGAGGTCTGATTAGTTTTCCTTTCCTGTTTGCTCCTCATGCAGACCGACCCTTTGCCTATTCAGGTGGGCAGCGGTGCTCAGCTGTGCTCTCTGGGGGATGCCTTTGAGGTCCAGAGTGGGTCTGTATTTATAGGTGCTGGCCGGGGTGGTCTGCTCCAAGGCTGCCTGCTGCCTGCCAGCCCTGTTCACCTCGAGCTCATCTCTTCCCTCCAACAGCCCCAGATTCCAAAATGCTCTTTAAGATAAAAATTTTAAATGATCTTTAAAATGAAAGACACATTTTAATGATTCTCAAATGCTTAGAAGGAACACACACACACACATGCGCGCGCATGCACTCCCAAACTACCTTCCAAGAAGCCAACAAGCAAATGGACAGTCTCAGCTCTTCCCAGCTCAAAGAGCTTCTCTGTGCCTCAGTTTCCCCACAGAAAGCCCTACCTGTCCTCTCCTTGGAACTCCCTGAGGAGAGGAGGGGAGAAGTGATGAGCTCCCACCTTTCAGGGCATGGACGCAGTGTGGCGGGGCGAGGCGCAGGGAACCAGATGCGTCAGAGCAGCTCTGACCAAGAGGCCCCCCCCCCCCCCCCCCGGCCTCACATGTGCCTGGACTCCACAATGCTGAGGAGCTCAGGCAGGATGAGACTCACAGTGCACGTGACCTCATCTGCCACCCATGACACAGGACGGGGGACGGAAGAAAAGGCCAGGTCCTGGCTCTTCTTAGCCGTCTGACCTCCACCAGGCCACTTGGCTACTCGGCCTCAGTTTCCTCATTTGTCGAGGAAAGGAAGAATGACACCCGTCCATCGAACACGCACGGATGTGGGAGGCAAGGCCTGCGGAGCTCAGCACGCACAGCTGGGCTCAGCAAAGTTTCGGCTCTTTTCCCCCCTGACTCGGGGGCTGGACACATGGGCCCACAGGCTTCCGCCACAACAGGGGTGCAGGATCGGGCACCGTGGACCTCCCCAGTCCATCGGAGGGGGAATCAGTGTCCTCCTTAAATGCCACCTCTCGGCTCCTTGGAGGCCCTCTTGTCCCCGGGCCGGGTGCCTTTTCTGGCCCGACCCCTCCGTCTGGTGCACATGCCAACCTCCTCCTTTGATCCACTGATCACTCTGATCTCAGCTTGAGTCCCCTCCTCAAGGGGCCCTCCTCTGGCCTCTGGTCCATCAAGCAGCCTCGTGGCACGCTGGCTTTCCTTTGGGATACTGCTGGAGGCCCATGCTGCCTGGACTCCCGGAGGCGCAGTCCACTCTGGTTTGCGCCCAGCGGTGCCTCAGTAGCACTCGACGAGTATTTGGTGAGTGACTGGGACAGAGAACATGAGGCCCTCCCTCCTGTGCTCCGGCCATCTGCTCCTCCCTCAGTGCCCTGGGTGCCACAGACTCTCGCTGACCCCTGTCTGAGA